ATTATTGTCTCCTTCAAGTAAGGTGATCGCATCCACTTTCGGGTTTTTAGCAAGCTATCTTGCTATCCAAGTTGTTTTCTAATCTGTTAACCGAATGTGGAAGTAGTCATTTCTGTCAGTGAGGTTGCTGATGCAGGTAAAGAATGGAAGTCCTGGTGATGTTCTGGACTCGATTTGGTTGGAACTTCTCCTTGCTATGACTGGAGAACAGTTTGGGGATGATTCGGATCTTATCTGTGGTCTTGTCTGTAGTGTTCGCGAAAAGGGTAGCAAGGTTTGCTTTTTTATGGAAAAATTAAAAATTTTTTGATCTAAATCTAGTTTAGATAGAAATGTGGACTAAGGAATGGAAAGCAGAGGAAGGAAATATGCGAATAGGGTATAAATTTTTTCATAGCATTTTTGATACAGTTTTGCACTGCCTGAATGAGCAGTGCTGTGCTGGTTGTTAAAAATCCACTCGTAGAAACTGGCTTAACTCTCTTGCGTCTGAATCTAAATAGGTTTCGCAGGATTCAAACTGAGTGTATAATTGTCAGGACAACTTAAGATATCGAAGTAAATATGTGATCAAATCGGCGAGGAAAAATCGAAGAATTGAAAAGTACGTAACAAATTGTTGAAATGATCAACATCGTATTTTACCTTCATGATTCCTTTGGCTTCCGCAATCCTGACCATTAACTGAGCACTGGATGGATGCACTAGCTTTAGTGCTCGGTTAAGTTGCAGGCATTCGGATCAATAGCAAAATAATGTCTGTAGGAAACTTTATCGTGCGCCTCAGTGTTCACACAGTTGTAAATTTTGTTTTTAAAGAGAATCTCGCAAGAGAATTGGAGTAGAATCTTGATTACTTTTTTGAAAACTATCTTTTAGATTTTGGTCGTTTCAAAAAAATTTTTACGTGCCAGAGGACAGATTTAAGCATCACAACTTCAACAAAAATAATTCTCTTACGTGCCAGATGTTCTACTTCGTTCTGCAATTTTAATTTCTAAAATTTTCCGTTTCAAGAACCATAACAAGACCAACCAAATGAATTACGATTAAAGATAGAAAAGTAAAAAACTAAGAATAATAAACAAAAAGAGCATGTGCTTTCATTAAAAAAGTCTTGCATAATCCTATTTTGTTGATTGCTACAATTGAGGATAAAAGCTCGACTGCCCAAAAGTTTTTCAAGTAGACCTTCAGCAAACATTTTTTCTTATCTTTGTCGATATGATCGAACAAACGCCATCGTTGCTTGACTTCCAAAAAGTAATTTCTACTGCTCAAAACTTCTTGTTAGTGTCATCACTGTGAATGCATGATAACTATATGCCAGGCCTCTACTTTATTTCAAATCACAGAAATGCTTTAATTAATAGATTCAATAGCTTCCAAAATGATTATTTAAAGCTACTGAACATCGCCCAAAAGTTTTTTTTTTTACATACCGACAAATAAGAGCGGTCCCTTAAATCCTAGCGCAGTGTAATGTGACGTGGTGACTTTTTCAATCGAATGATTTAGCAGGAACTAGACTTGACTTTGAATTTCCATCACTAAAATCGCGCTGGCAAGATGCAGCATTA